TTGGACACGGCAACCGCAAGAGGATGTTTGGAGCGATGTTTAGATCTGGGTGACAAAGACAAACCAGCGGGGGCGGGTCTGTCGAGTTGTGCCGCCTCAGCTGTTAATGATGTGATGCAAACCTGCGCATGCACGTCTCACGGAAGCCGAAGCAAACCAAGATGGCGGACAAGTTAAAATACGAACGAATACAGACACAAATGTCACTTTTAATGCAATTTGAGGCGAGATGTGGACTTTAGAATGCACTAAATGAATGGGCGACAGTAGCTCAGTTGGTAGAGCATTGGCCTTTGGGCCTGAAGGTCGTGGGTTCGAGCCCACCGTAAGACCTACTTCACGACTCCCACTGATGACTGCGGTTGTTGTGTCCTTGGGCAAGATACTTAACCCTACTTTGCCCAAAGCCCCCACTGAAAGATCTCAGCTCCTGTGGACTCACCACCTGCAGGAGGATCAGTGAGGGGCTGGTGCTCTGTGTACTGGGTGCAGCTCTGACTGCCACCCCCCCGACCCAGAAATGGTTTAAGGGGAAGAAAATGGATGGATGGATAAATGAATGGGGCTAGTGCAGCTAACACATGCACAAATGCGTTTTTCCAAATTTTCTTGCCCCCGAGGCCATTTTGAAAAAGCCCACTGAAGGCAAAAATGATGGCACAGTAGTTTCAACAGCGGAGATGGGCGTGACTACTTCTGTTGGTTTTTACAGTCTTTGAGACAAACACAAGTGACTCCAGACATTAGTATTGGAAAATACAAGAGCAGATTAACCGAAGAGTTAAGAGATATTGTCTGGAAGTGGTGTTCAAAGCGGTGATGCGTAAATGTGTCAGTTTTATGAGACTGTTATTCATGAGGAAAACATGATGCAACGACGCCGCTGCTCCAAAGAATTGTAATAATGGGCTATGAAGTTGGCATGGGATAGAAGATTTGCAACGTTTAATCAGTGAATGACTTCTCAAGTAAAAATTAACCAAAGGAGAAGAAAGCTAGGAGAGGGGATTAGATAAATGCACTATTTGCTTCGACCAGAAGATATTAATATATCACTATATCAATATAAACACTTTTAAATATGCAAGTTTGCTTTTTATATTTAAAATAATAAGTAGAAGAAGTAAAGACAGTAAAAATGTAATAAAATAATTTAAATACCAGTCATCCAATTCAAAAATGAAACTAAAAACAACAAAAAAACAGACAAAAAGAGGACCGTACAACTCACTCTGTGTTAAAAGCCAGAAAGTAAAAAATGCTTTTCTCACCGTGAGTTGTGTACCTCTTCAAGTTTTCTTGTTTGCTCTCATTATTTGTTCTGTGAATAATTGTTTGTATACTGTAGCTCATTCATGTACTGTATGTGTGTATGTTGTGTACTTATGTTCTGCTAAAATGAGATATTATGTTTTGCTTGGAGTTCGCTTTTCCACAGGAATAAACATAAGAATCCGAGACACCCCCAGGGAAGGGAAGGGTCCAAGCTGAAGCCTCACAGTGAAAGCTGTATCGAAAAAGGGAAACCAGTGGGGAATGTTCTTGTGTTGTCGAGACCCGTGTTGGCTTTTTACAATGTGGAAGACAGGAATGAGTCAAAAATAAAGGGGTCAAAATAAGTCAGTTTCAGTCAGTTTTCTAAAGTCACAGGGCAGTACACCCAGAATCCCTGGGAATCATGTTGTAATTGATTTCAAGCTATACGTGGATCTATGAATACATTTGAAAGCCTATTTTAGACATATATATATCTAAAATATATATATATATCTAAAATATTTTAGAAGGACAACTTCATGACAAAGCAACACCAAAATTGACGGTAAAAGCTGACCCTTATGAAAGCAACAGGCTATAAAACAGTTTATTCATGTCCAAATCTGTCTTAAAGACTAGTTTGTGAGGCGGGTTAAATGCCGAGACGTTTGGGCCACCCAGCCTCAGTGTGTAAAGAAGAGATGACCTGGCCAAAGAAAGTGTTTGCACCTTTAGACTGTGTAATAGTCTTGATAACAGATGTGACATCACCTACAGCGCTTGCCTTCTCGCAGAATTGGCCGATGAGAGCTGCTTTGACAAGTTCCATGGGTGGGAATTTGGAGCAGATTCCTCTTTCCTTCTCTCTTTATAGCAGCCACAGTGAGCCAAGCCAAATTCAGGGATGGAATTCAAACAACATATAAACACACAGAAAGGTGAGTCTGACATGACACATGCGGTTAAGATTTTGTTGTTGTTGTTGAATGTGCTGGAAATGGTTGCAAGTCCTAAAAGTAGCTTTGAGCCGGTTGTTGTTTTGTGTTTTACAAATGTATTTTCCTTGCTATTTTTTACCTGAGATGTTTCTGCAGTACAGTATTCATGGTTTTTCACTGGTCCAGATCAGAGCGGAGAGGATTCATGGTCTGAAATAAGCGAATCAAGCAGAAATCCACTGGAGGAATGCTAACTTTTAGAAAAATTCTAACAGAGCATTCAGCATCACACTCTGGACTAGAAAATTATCCGAACCAAGCGGCTGCTCCACTTCTGCTGATGTGACCTAAGGTGCTGTAGCATTTATCTATTTATTTGTTTTGTTTGTATGGATGGATGTGTTTCTGCTGCTACTGGACACCTGCATTTCCTCCTACAGGGATCAATAGTCTTTCTGTATATAAAACAAACTGGAGATTGAAAGCATTTTTTGCCTGTACCACACTTTAGAAATAATACTGTTGATCTTTGGAAAGGTCATTCTTCAAAGTTCTCTCCTCTCTTCTCCATGCATGCATTTTTAATTTACCCCTTTTGACTTCTAACCTTGACCCCCAGCAAGTCAACTTCTCTGATGGTTGTTGTTAATCAGATCCATTTGCAAAGTTAGGTCTGAGTTCAACAGTGGGTGAGGATTGGAGCAGTGTGTAAAAAAATGCCTGAGAAAGAATTATTATTGTATGTAGAAGAGTGATATCTTTTTTCTTGGTATGCTCACTTTATCCACTCACTTTATAGCCTATTTTTGATTTTGAATGTTGTGTGTAGGGTAGTCAATACATAACGCAACAATATAAATGCAGGTATAGTATATGGTCTGTTAAAGCTATATTGAGAAAGATTCAACATAAGATTAAATCAGAAGTCACATTTTACATTGTTCGTAGAATCTTTAAACCTGAAAAAACAGTATTTGAGATGTATTGTACAAAAGCCTCTTCCTTCCTTCTACTTGCTCTTTAAAAAGCAAATCTGAATAAATGTTCCCTCTGATTGAAGAAAATAAAGGGTTTTTTTTTTCAGAACAAGCTTTTTATCAGCCGACCTCCTCACCCTGTCTCTCCTGCGTGGCATCACTGTCCAACAAACAAGTCCATTAGAAAGATAAATGAGCTTTGGGAGGTTACTGGAAATGCAGGGGAGCGACCAAATAAGGGAAGCATCTCACCAAAAAGCATGTATATCCACAGACAGAAAGGCCACACCACCAATTTGAACCTCGTTAACTCGATTGACTAAAGCGAATAATTAATTTGGAGAGGAAACAGCTCACCTAAATGAAACCGAACTAAAGTTGTAATTGCTGGCAGTGGTAATCCGAGACTCCGTAATGACCTTGCCACATGGGAGAGCGATAATGGCTGCAGTGGACGTTCCAGTGCTGATGTAGTGTTAGGAATAAGTGAAACGGTGGCCACTCGACTTACATTACACAAGTGAGATTATATCACGAAAAAGAATCAGTGGAATAAAGGCCCTGGACGCTGAAAGAGTTTCCAGACCTGAAGAAAGGCCTCGGCTGGAGACTGTCCAGACGCTGACGCCATGTGACCTAAATCTGCAGATCGGTCCTGGAGCTGGAGGTGAACCCCGGGAGCAAAGACAAACCCCGAGGACTGTGCAGTGGATATTGAGGAATGATAATTACAATGTCTTTGCTGGCATCTCTACACTTTATTTTGTCATCATGTCATTTTCATCTCCTTTAAATGACATGGGGGGGGGGGGGGGGATTCTCGTGCAGGTGGTTGGTCCATGGGAAGAGGCTGCTGCTTCCATGAAGATACAGCCTTGGTGCTTCAGCGGGGGCTTTGGGAAATGTGGGGTTAAGTGTCTTGCCCAGGGACACTATGACAGCAGACTTCAGTCGGAGCAGATGACAGTCAAAGCCAACTTTTTGCGGAGAAGAGAGATTGCGAACCACTCAGCACAACAGTAAATGTAACTCATAGATGCAATCATTGATGTCACATGTTTACACGCGGAGTAAAACTCTGTGGCTCTGTGGCCAGCTTATTTCGAGTAGCTCCCCGATATATAAAAAATGGTTATACAGTTGCTGTGATTTTATCTGGTATTTGAATCCACCGATACTTCAGTGATGATACAATGAATTAATCATAGTCGACAACTGCGCAGGCCACTGAGAGATTTTATATTAACTCTTTTTAATGTACTGTGATCATTTATCAGAATCAGAATCAATAGGAAGTCACAGTCAAAGGAAATTGCTTTGGCTCTTGGTGCAAACAAGTCCAAAGTAGATTGGTAGAGAATAGAGTTAGGCTATAATTGTGCTATACATAAAAACTTGCCTTGCCTTTGTGACAGTATTCCCCGCTATATTTCTGGCACAACTGCAGCTCGCGATCCATGGACAAATTCTGATAACGTCTGATAACTCGTCTTCCTTCCTTTTGTTTTGTGAAAGTTCCTCGCTGCTGTGGGCAGATCCCCCCCCCCCCCCCCCCCCCCCCTCCTCTTACTCCTCCTCCTCCTCCACGGCTCGTGCGCTTTGCCATGGCCCAGACAAATCACTCCCCCTCGGGTTAACCTGCACCTCTGTTTGGGGCAGACTCAGTGCAGACGCGCGGAGGCAAGAGACGCTCCCACAACTCTGCTGCTGCTGCTGGGACGTCCGGTGAACTTAGAACATACAACACACATCCGGACGCGCGCTTGGGGTTTTTTATTTTTATTTTTTTTCACGTGAATTGAATTAGATTTTTTTTTGAAGAGGTACCATGTCCAGTACCATCAAGGGGGTACTGGTCGCCCTGTGCCTCGGGAGCGCGGTGGTGAACTGTATGCCCCAGACCAGGACGCACAAGAGCAAGCGACAAGCGCAGCAGCATCAGGTCTCCTCCGTGTCGCAAGGTAAGGCACACTGGGATGCGGGTTTAGGCCAGGCTTATTTATATAGCACAGTTCATACAAAAGGCTAATCAAAGTTCTTAGCAAAACAAGAGGGAAGAACCAATCAGCATTGTGGTTATTGCTCTTCGTGTCTATAAGAGGTTTTGGGTTTTTTTCATTTGAAGGATTCGTTGAATTGTCTATTAGCTACACGTCATTTTGGTGTTGATTAAAGCTGGGGTATGTAACTTTCAAACCACAAAAAAAACTCTGAAACAGCTTGGGTTTATCTCTAGTTTTCACATGCATGTATTTTTGGTGTCTGTCTCTTCTCTCGATCAGCATTTTTTGACAGTAAATTGAATGGATCACTCTTTCTCAGCCAATCAGCTTTCAGCCCAAAGCGTCAGAGTGACTCACAGGGAAAGATTATGCACAAAAAATAACATTTGTCTTAATGAGATGATGGCAGCATGCAGTGGTCTGGCCTGTTCACAGCATTTAAGACTTTTTCTCTCGGGACAAACTAAGTGTAATGAGAAATAAAAGTTAGGTAACCCAGCTTTAAGTTTACACAGAGTTTGATTGATTGTGGATAAGACACAGGGCTGCAACTATGACCATAGTTGACAAATAAGTATTATTTGAAAGCTCAATGTGTATATATGTTCTATAACAGAGGGTTTGTAGTATTTAGTAGTTGGTGTAGTTTTTATATTTTAGAAATGTATGTAGATTTTTACTATGCCATTCTATTCTCTACTTTTGACTTGTTTGCATCGAGAGCCAAAGCAATTTACCTGTCTGTGACTTCCTGTTACTTACATGGCAGTACAAATGACTCTGATTTTGATTCTGAAAACAAGGCTGAAGTCCCAAGATCTAGTGAATGAATGATATACCCTGACATAAAGATGGTTAAATTCAAAGAAAATAGAGTAGTCTTTTGATAATGCTAAAAGAAACCACAGGTATTATTCTTGTCTGTAAAGTCCGGGCATTTGCTGTCTATAGTCATCAAAATGTGAGTCTTATTCATTTGTTACTCTGTATTGAAAATGAAAGTGTAGTTTTGTGTTTTAACCCGATGCTTAAACCTCTCTGACGCTTGAGATTATCCTCCTGTCTTTAATCTCTGGTCGATAATTGTGTTTGTTCTAACATAGTGTGATCCTGACCTCGAACCCCAGGAGGCCAATTAGCTCTTTGTTGATTCATTAGAACATTTGCAAACAATTCAAGTCAAGATCAAAAGCAGATGTAGATTGGAGCATTTGGAGCTGGGAGAAGTATGCAAATGAGGCAATTATAAAAGGAATGGGGCCCGAGTGTAAATAGTATCTTTTTTCCATCATACAGGCCATGTGGTTCACGAAAGGAGAGATATTTTTTGAAGCATTTTGTGTACAGGCATATCTTATCTAGCCTTTACATTTTTATGGATGATAGATTTTTTTTTCTCTCTCAGTAGCAAAGTGAAAAGAAAGCAGGTTTCACAGCAGGTTAAAGCAATAGTGGTATAGATTAGACTTTTGAAGCAATGACAAGCTCAGGTTTAACCAAAATTGCTTCAAAAGTGTTGTAAGAGATCCATAATGGCTTGAGTTATAATACTAGATAATAAAACAACATTAGTAGTAGTAGTAGTAGTAGTAGTAGTAGTAGTAGTAGTAGTAGTAGTAATGCTGGTAGTTTTTTGTACCAATTTACTGAGAATTCAATAACATTTGTTTTTGTATAGCACTAAAAAAAAACTACAGCAGTTGCCTCAAAGGACTTTATAAAGACCAGACAATTTAAATGTGGGGCAACTGTGGCTCAGTTGGTAGAGCATTGGCCTTTGAGCCCGAAGGTTGTGGGTTTTGAGCCCACCAAAAGACCTTCTCCACAGACTCCCACTGATGTCTGCCGTAGTTGTGTCCTTGGGCAAGACACTTAACGCTCTTTGCCTGTAAGGTGCGCGGAAGTGATGTTCGCTGCTTGCCTTGATGTCTATGTGTATGCCTCAAATTGAAATTTCCCCATTGTGGGACGAATAAAGGACCTTCTTCTTCTTCTTAAATGAATTATTAACAAACACACTTGAGCCATTGGTCCATAGGAAGAATGACCAATGTCCATAAATGTCCATAAATGTCGCCAAATGTCCAGGATCATCACCACTCTCTATGGACCCTCCTGCTGGGTCCAAACAGAATGGCTGTATTGGTAAAGTAATGACACAATCCTACCACCCTTTTTGTCTGAAAAGTAGATCCACGCACTGATGGAATAGTCTTAAATTAACACAAAATCCATGAAAAGTCGCTCTGACAGACAACATTCAGTAAGACGCAGGGTAAGTTCTTTACGCAACGCAATTGGCCCAACACAGATCAGAGAATCAAGCAGTTCAAACACAAGAAATGCAATGATAGAAAACACAGAAATGTCCAAAAATGTCCATAAATGTCCATAAATGTTTAATGTTGTTGAATGTCTTGGATCATTGGTATAAATAATGAATTCGACTTGACATCACACAGTTCTTTCTAATTAGTTGCGGACAAAAGCTGTGTGTGAGAGAGCTGAGAGTACAAGTGTTGTCCATTCTTCACTTGGTTCTGCAGATTTACGGCTCTGGCTCATGGCCCTTTGAAGTGGAGTTAACACATCCAATCTTGATTTCACAGACATGGGTGAAGCCTCTCTCTGGCTCCCTCCCTCCCACACTCCAGAGGTTTATTCCTGGTATCTTTTTGTCTTCGGCTCCCTGTGTGTACTTTGTGGATAGGGCAAGATCTAAAGACGTTTGCTATTATTAGACGCTTTGCCCCAGAGTCTTGTAAACAGCATAATCTTGTCATTTGTTTTATGGGTTTGGGTGCACTGCGGCTAAAAGCTAAATTGCCAGTGCATGGATTATGTGTTATTATTTTGTTTGTTAAAGAAGACATACTCATAAAATAGTAATGTGTGACTGTCTCTATCTGGTTTTGTTCCTTCTTATTCATACATTTGCATTAGAATGTGAAATAATATCGTATGAAGAGTAACATGCGTTCCACCTGTTAGTCTCTAAGCTACCACCAGGGGGAGAGGTAGAAGTTTTAAAATTACTGTCTGCAAACTTTGGATAAGCTCTTTGGATAATGAGCTAAAATCATGTGAAATATACCACAATTTTGAGTTTAAATGTAAACAAAAAATTATCAAATCCTGTTAAAAACACACCAAACCAGAAGAGGAATAGTAGTGAAAAGAGAGAGTGAAAATGACATGACACATCAAACTAGAAATGGTACAATGGCTGAAGCCATTGTGAGTGGCTGCATAGATGTTGGAAGGGTTAGGGATGAAGAAGGAAGAGGAAGGGGAAGAAGAAGAAAGAATAAGAAAGAAAAGGGAAGAAGAGGAAAGAAGAAGAAGGGGAAGAAGGGGAATAAGAAGAAGAGGAAGAAGGGGAAGAAGGGGAAGAAGAGGAAGAAGGGGAAGAAGAGGAAGAATGGGAAGAAGAGGAAGAAGAGGAAGAAGGGGAAGAAGGGGAAGAAGAGGAAGAACAGGAAGAAGGGGAAGAAGAGGAAAAAGGGGAAGAAGAGGAAGAAGAGGAAGAAGGGGAAGAAGAGGAAGAAGGGGAAAAAGGGGAAGAAGAGGAAGAAGGGAAAGAAGGGAAAGAAGAGGAAGAAGGGGAAGAAGAGGAAGAAGTGAAGAAGAAGTAAGAAGAATTCGTTGTAAGGGACTGAAAGTGTTGTAAAGTGCTGAATGTGTTGTAAAGTGCTAAATGTGTTGTAAGGAGCTAAATGTGTTGTAAGGTGCTAAATGTGTTGTAAGGTGCTGTAAGTGTTGTAAGATGTTGTAATGTATTGTATGTGTGGTAATGAATTGTTAGTGTGGTAATGTGTGGTAATGTGTGTGTATAGTAATCTGTTGTACTGGTCCAATGTAAGTCTATGGGAAAAAGTGCTTGAACTTTTGTTAATATCTGAAAAAGTGCAAAAGGTGGAAGTGTGAAAAGTAATAGCAATAATGAGACGGTGAAGCCGGTCGTAACGATGTATAATTTGTTGAATTTGGTGAAAGCGTTGAAGAGTTGAAAAGTGCCAAAATCTGGCGGAAGTGGAAGAAGAAGAAGAAGAAGAAGAAGAAGAAGAAGAAGAAGAAGAAGAAGAAGAAGAAGAAGAAGAAGAAGAAGAAGAAGAAGAAGAATAAACAGTAGGAGAGCATATAGTGGCTGCATAGTCTATGCAGCCACTCAATTAAATGAAACTCAGACGTGCAACGGATTTGTTTTAAAATGCTGTAATGTCATATCATACTGTAACAAGACTGAGGCAGAGTTAAAAGGTTGTGCCCTACAGATGAAACTTCCTAATATTAGCGTGAATGGGTCTAAAAACTACTCTGTGCATGTTTTTTTTGACGAGAAACAATGGTTAAATTGTGAGGTGGTTAAATGCCCAAATATGTAGATGTCTCCTTTAACATTTCTCTGTCTTTTGCCAGAGGGCTGTGTGGAGAATGGTCAGTTTTATGGCGTCAATGACCAGTGGGAGCGGCCGTACCTGGGCAGCATTCTGGTCTGCACCTGTCAGGGAGTCGCTGGGATTAAATGCACCAGTAAACCAGATGGTGAGTATTCATGTTGAAGCAATGTGTAAGAATTTCATCTCAAGTCATCATTAAAGGGCTCTTATTTGTCAAAAGGCATTAATAAACCATGGTCTTTTCTAAAACTTATTTAACTGATAACAGCAGTTCAGAGATTTTTGAATTTCCAAATTAGTTTTATTGCCCCTGAATCTTGTTACTGTTTTCATTTCAATGTCCCGCCCTCCACCTGGCAGGATCGGGTTGCCAGAACTAACCACGTCAAGCTAATCTCTCTGGTAAAGTAACATGTGGCCACAGAAATAAAAAAAGGTCTTGTTATGATTGTCTAATTATTAATGACAAAACAAAGAGTAAAACTAGGATTTCTGTCTGTGTGAAAAAGGTGTTGTTTGTAGATCTTGTCTATTCAGTTTTTATGGCCCTAGCTGGATTTGTCTGCATATCTGGCTACCTGAGTCAGGGAAAGCGCAGTACCACTTTTGACCAGATTCTTACAAATTGCTCCTTTATATATCCACGCTTTATTTGGATTATTACTAAGATATCTTCTATACAGGTTTGACATAAAAAATACGGGATGGAATTCAGGATGGAGAAGCATTTGGTTTTCAACACAGATTGTGGGTTTTCTGTTTTGTTTCTTTCCAGAAGAGGAAAAGTGTTTTGACAAGATAAACCAGCGTTCCTACACTGTTGGAGAAACGTATGAGAGGCCAAAGGACGGGATGATCTGGGACTGCACCTGCATCGGATCTGGGAGAGGGAAGATCAGCTGCACCATTGGCAGTGAGTACCAATATATCTATCTATCTATCTATCTATCTTATGTCTGTCTGTCTTTCTATCTCTTTTTCCCTCTCTTCATCCCTCCATCCCCCTCTCCCTCCCTCCCTCCATACCCTTCTCTTTCTCAGACAAATATATTCATGAATGAGATATAAGCCATGTTATTGAAGGTCCATTACAAAACTTCCCCAATCAATTTCTTTGTGTATATCCCTAAATCAAAACAGTAGTTATCCATGAGGACTGATTTTGCCAACACAGATCAGAAAATCAAATTGAAATGCAATACACAAAAAGCCATTGGTCCATAAGGGGCAGATGAGCAGGGCTAGATATTAGTGAATAGCTGTTTTATGCTGATATTTTATGTAATCTCAAACATTGTAATAATTTCTTTTGTTAATGTAGGAATTCATTTTGAAATAATCTTGCAACCCCTATACGCCAGACAATTCTGCGGTACTATATCTACGCAAACTAAAACAAAAATAGGACTGGAAATGGAACATAACATGTCAATAACTCAAAACCCAGAGCTACAGTACCTAGAACCACAACTGTGACAAAAAACTCATGCGTCACAAATGTTCCTTGCACGACATTTTGAGAATCCCTGCTCCATCCTCTCCTCAGCTGATTAGCACGACCAGAACCCTGCAGCTGTGAGCGTTTAGCCGTGTGGTTAGATAATGCTGTGTTTTCATTTCTTTGTGCGTTCACTCAGACATAAACACCGGTCTTTACTGCTCCTATTTCCCTCCAGATCGCTGTCATGAAGGAGGGGCCTCTTACAAGATCGGGGACACCTGGAGAAGACCCCACGAAACCGGAGGCTACATGTTGGAATGTGTGTGTCTTGGAAATGGGAAAGGAGAATGGACTTGCAAACCAGTGGGTAAGTAGGGAGCTATAGCTGCTAAACTAAAGCCTGAATGTATGGTCTTTACAATACAACAACAAGGAAGTAATCAGTAATAAACATGTGGATTATGGAGACTAGCTGGGCAGAAGTGACTAATTATCCATTGCTACTGCTGAGCTCGCCAAGGCTGAAGAATAGAACCTGGCAACACATTTTTCAGTTGCACAGGCCTGCATTCTGTCATTCTTCTACTAAGAATGTCAGTGATCCCTGTGGTTAGTAGTTCCTGTGGTCAGTAGTCCCTGTGGTCAGTAGTCCCTGTGGTCAGTGGTCCCTGTAGTCAGTGGTCCCTGTGGTCAGTGGTCCCTGTGATCAGTGTGTGGGGCCAGTGGTCAGTGGTCCCTGTGGTGAGTGTGTGTGGTCCCTGTGGTCAGTTGTCCCTGTGGTCAGTGTGTGGTCCCTGTGGTCAGTAGTCCCTGTGGTCAGTGGTCCCTGTGGTCAGTGGTCCCTGTAGTCAGTGGTCCCTGTGGTCAGTGGTCCCTGTGGTCAGTGGTCCCTGTGGTCAGTGGTCCCTGTGATCAGTGGTCCCTGTGGTCAGTGGTCCCTGTGATCAGTGTGTGGGGCCAGTGGTCAGTGGTCCCTGTGGTGAGTGTGTGTGGTCCCTGTGGTCAGTGGTCCCTGTAGTCAGTGGTCCCTGTGGTCAGTGGTCCCTGTGGTCAGTGGTCCCTGTGGTCAGTTGTCCCTGTGGTCAGTGTGTGGTCCCTGTGGTCAGTAGTCCCTAGTCCTACTAGGACTAAACAAGTGACCAGACTTGCTTTAATCTATAACATCTGATATGGCTACAGTAGAAATAAAAAAACACACTCAAATCTATAGAAAATATATTATTTTGCAATTTCATTAAAACATGGCACCGGTCAAATGGCACGTTCTGGTGTGTTCTGAAGTAATATATATTTTTATTTTGGAGTAGTTTATTTTATTTTTTATTTTTGGGGTAGTTTATTTTTAAGTATTGTTTTTTCCAAACTTTATGAAGGACTTACAAGCAAGCATGGGATCCATGCACAGTCACAGATGTGTGTCTTGCACAGTTTTTCCAATGTGGTTTGACTTCAAATGGCAAATAAATTCTTGAATCTTGACTCATAACAAATAAACTCATTACAGACAGTTTGAAAAAAAAAGGTCTGAACTTGCCTCCTGTTTCAGCGGAGCGTTGCTACGACAACACCGGGGGGACGTCCTACATCGTGGGTGAGACGTGGGAGAAGCCATACCAGGGCTGGATGGTGGTGGATTGCACCTGTATGGGAGAAGGCAGCGGGCGGATCACGTGCACCTCCAGAAGTAAGTCAGATATCACACCACCACAAATGTAAGAGGGGTTGGTTTACAAAGACAGATATCTCAAAAGTTCTCCGTCACTTCAAAAAGTGAAATCGCTCAAATTCGGCAAAATGTATCTGTTTCCACCATCCCTACATGGCCCTATGGTACGTTCAGACCGGATCATGCGTTGCGGCGACTTTTAATGCAAAGGCAATGGTGACGTCCGTTCAAGCGTGGAACTGCATGTGCGTCACGGTGCATACAGACTGTGCGGCAGAAGCGGCGCTGTGGCAAAACACGACGCAGGCAGTAGATAGACATTGCTGAACTTTTTCTGCCGGTCGCACGTGTAGCGACCAATCAGAGAGCTGCAAAGTGGTCACGGGGTTACTAGCAGTCAGCCTGAAGATACTCGAAAACATCCAAAACAGGAGCCAAAACAGGTGCTAAACCAGGACTAAACCAGAACTATCCATTCATCCATTTTCTTCCCCTTGATCCATTGCTGGGTCGGGGGGTGGCAGTCAGAGCTGCACACAGTACACATAGCACCATCCCCTCACTGATCCTCCTGCAGGTGGTGAGTCCACAGGAGCCTTGATTATTCAGCAAGGGCTTCAGGCAAAGTGGGGTTAAGGGTCTTGCCCAAGGACACAACGCCAGCAGTCATCAGTGGGCCGTGAAATAGGGCTTGTGGTGGGCTCGAACACACAATCTTCAGGCTCTAAGGCCAATGCTCAATCAACTGAGCCACTGTCGCCCCCACAAAACCCAGAACTAAACAAGGACGAAACCAGGACTAAACCAGGATTAAACCAGGACTGACAATGGGGGACACAGAATGAACATATGCCTCCAGCCTGAGTTGTCATTCTCTCAGTGACAGTAAACAAGTGCTGCTATGGTGTTCGTCGATGCGGAAGTACTGTTTTGAACACATACTGCTGTTATAAAAAGTCTCTTGAAGGTCTTTCGACACAGAGACGCACTCAAAGACACTTTGTTTTCTTGTTTCAAGTAGAAAAATCATGACCCACTGGCTTTTTTGGAGCCAGTTTATGCAGTGAAAGCACAAAACAATCTTTCGAATCATCATCATCACAGCATTTTCTTTTCACATGATTTTGACCAAGCAGGTGATATTAGATCATTGTCAAGGCACACTAATAAGGTTGGAAAACAATCTAAACCAGTCAAATTGGAATTCCACTTCTATTCTTTTTTTCTGCAACTTGTGACTTGATTCAATGGAAGACAATGAAAGACCATAAACGTTCCCTGTCTTAAATGATATATGAGCCATTTAGATCCCATCATGGGTCTATTACGGCTGCTTTGTCATTCTTTTCATCGCTGGGAGTTAGAGAAAGGAAATGTTGAGTTCCAAATTACAACCATTTGTCCTTGAAAGAGACTTGCCTTAATCCGTTGACACACACACGCAGAAACTAGGTGGCCTCGGGAAAACACTAAACCGTCGCACATTAACAAAAGAGCGCAAGTGAAATAGGGAACAGCTGGTTGCTCCGGGAGTCAACAAAAACAAAACAATGGCAGCGACATGTTGTGAATGTCTGTTTTATATCAAGGCAATGGTCACTTCTCCTGGTCCTGAACGCAGAAGTGTTTCCTGGGTGTTTTGAGCTGTTTTCTTTTTTTTTTTTTTTTACAGCAAATTAGAGCCTCAGATGTGCGAGGCAATTACAGTACCTCTATTTCGAAGGCAATGGAAAGTGTGAATCAGCTGCTTTTTAAGGCCTATTTTAAGTCATTAGCAACACTTATGGCGTATGAAGAGAGAAAACAGCCTCTACCTGAGCTTTGAATTGTCTTTTTTTCCAAAGCAAGTCCCTGCTCGCTTTCAAAACACCCTTTGATAATAGTGCTTTTTAATATATGTGGAAAAAACGTTTCTCTTGATGAAAAATGAAAAGTGAAAAAAAAAGCCAAAGCCAAATAAGCGTCTTGTAAAATTGTGAAATTGCAGCAGCAGTGAAAGATCCTTTATTAAGTAGCACTTTACTGGCATTATTAATTCACTCCATACACAGTGGTGATAAACTACAACTGTAGCCACAGCTGCCCTGAGGCACCCTGACAGAAGTGAGGGAACCAATCTGTGCCTCCATCAATAACTCATGCACCACACTGTAAGTTCATGATTACAAAAATAAAATTATTCTTGCTGCTCTAAAAATTATTTGTGTTGGTTAAGTGTTGCCAGATAGTACACTTAAGGCTCTGTGAAGAACTCAATACACTGTCTGGATTTTAAAAAAAAATATATGTTTTCATTCCTCAAAATGTTTCATAAAAAAGATAAGATAAGAGATCCTTTATTTGTCCCACAGTGGGGAAATTTCACTATTGCAGCCTGACAGAAGCAGGAACGAAAGACCTGCGCAACCTTTCCTTCACCCAGCGTCAAGTTCTTTTTGTGTCTTTTTAGCATGATTTGGCTTCTGCATGATATTGAGTTTCAACAGATATCCAGGACCAAAAACAGAAACAAAACAATTTCAAAGAACAAACATTTTTTTTAATCTAACACAACTTTGAATCCTAATTGGACAAAATACCAAAATACTATAATGCTATAACCACATCGCTAATATCTGATCATGTGTTATTTTCCAGACCGCTGTAACGACCAGGACACACTGTCCTCTTACCGCATCGGAGACACCTGGAGCAAGACGGACGCGAGGGGGAACTTACTGCAGTGTCTGTGCACTGGGAACGGTCGGGGGGAGTGGAAGTGTGAGAGACATGCCCAGCTTCACACCACTGGCCTGGGTGAGAACTGACACTGCCCTGCCCCCCTCCAGCTCCAGGCTCCGGGATAAGAGCACAGGCAGCTGGTGTTGGGGGTAAAGATAAAAACGTGTTGATGTGAGAGAGATGTGTCCTGAGAGTTGTGACCCCTGAGAATTCCGGATAATTGGGACACACAAAAGGTTGTTGATTTTAACTGAACATTTTGAGTGAGATCAAAAGTATTAAAGAGAAGCATTCAGGACCCTTCTCAAATATAAATATTTTTACCATAGCCTTCTCAGTGTGAAAACATAGATCAACCCAAGCAGGATTTGAGACAGAAAGGCGTTTTTAGTGGTGGGAGAAACCGGAGAACCTGGAGGAGACTTACAAACACAGATATGGGAAGAACATACAAACCGCCTGTGCTGACCAGGATTTGAACCCAGGAACATCTTGCTAACCACTCAGCCATTGTGCTGTCCTTGTATTAGATTAGCTGCAATGCACTACTAACATTTTGACCTGAATTCACATCATACTCTACTTTAGACTGTATGGCATGCCAAAATAACAATAATAATAATAATGCGTTGGTCTTATATCTATATTTAAGAATAATCCTCAAAGAAAAGAAGGGAGGCCTCCTGTATAAAAGTGGATCCAAAAGTTGTGGCCCCAGGCTTAGTGAATGATATGTTTTTTTCACTTTGACACGTTCCTAAAATACGGTAGACAGTCCAGTGAATTTTTCCTTTATCCTTGTATTTCTCAGGCTCTGGCTCTCGTGTGATCACCAACATCCAGCCCGTGGTCTATCAGCCGTCTGTCCCTGAGCTTCCAGTGGATGGACCCTGCAGATCGGACGCTGGACTTTTCTATTTTATTGGACAACGATGGATCAAGTCCCAGGGAACCAAGCAAATGCTCTGCACCTGTCTCGGAAACGGCATCAGCTGCGAACAATGGGGTAAAATATGCTTCAATCACTTCATTACAGTTTACAGCAGTGGTGTCAAACCGGTCCTCAAAGGGAACTCCACCCATTTCCTCAACTGAGTCCAGTCTAAACCTAGCCTGGTCTTACCACACCATCGTACTCATTTCATTTCGTACTAAAGTCTAGATTGTGCTCCGTTAACAGGTGGGAGGCGTTAACTCCTTTTGCAGACTGAAACGATTGGATCTGAGTTTACCGTGACATATGTAATGCGGCCCAATTGAGTGAAGCATTTAGATTTTAGCCTAGCTTTAGCATTCATCCTAGCTTTAACCATCTCCTTTACCACCAACGGAGCCCGTAGGGAGTAGAGCCACGACATCTTTGCAGCAATGACATTTGCTAAACATTCCTCTTGTTCCGGCTTCAATTTCTTATATTTGGAGCCGAATCAAAACAGATTACTAAAATACGGCGCAAACTCTTGACATCACCGACACCTACCTACAACACCCGCCTCCCCTTCTCGCTGATTGGTTGGAGGGGATTCAACTGAGGAAGCCACAAGGATCAGACCCAGACGTACATGTAGGATCTGATAATGGACCAAAGTTTATGGATGGCAAAGACTATCTTTGCCATCTTTGCCGTCTTAACCTGAAGACTTGAGGAAATGGGTGGAGTCAGGTGTGCTCCTGCTTGGTTGAAATAAAAGCCTGCAGCAACACAGGCCCTTTCTAGAAACAGTTTGACACCCCCGGTTTAAAGTTTATGGCATGCAATCTCAAAGCAACACTTAGACCCTCCCCCACAGTTTAATGGTTGGACGCAATGAATTAAAATCTTTGATTGACAGCAGAGGCTCCTCACCATTGGTCCTACAGCAACTATTACCGGTGGTGGTTTTGCCAAGAGGAGGAACTGCATTTAATACATTGTTTATGAAAAATACTTAATTTAGATGAAACGACAGGGTCATTTGGTCAGACATATGCATTCCTATGAAAATGCAATGCAATTGAAATTAGTTATACATCCCCTTTAAAGCTTCTACATCATTGGGCTATGAACTTGCTTTAGTGACATCAACAACATAAAGACAGTATATATGACTTAGACTTTTTTTTAGACTTGATCTCCATCATATTGTATAATTCTACTATCAAACCCAGTATTACATAACCACATTTTCATATAGTCATACCTTTATTTAGCCATTAACATTCACTTTTCAGACATTTTTTCCCACAGAGACAGGTTTTTGTGTTTAATTTAACCTACAATGATCCCATGTGTTCACTGTGTTCCATTACATTGCATTTTCTGTATCACTAATGCAAGAAATGAAGAAAGTAAAAGTGTGTGTTGGTGCAGATGGCCCCGCTCCAGTGTACGGCGGTAACTCCGGTGGAAAACCCTGTGTTTTCCCGTTCGTTTACAAGGGAAAGACTTACCATTCCTGCATCTCGGAAGGACGCAGCGACGGACAGCTCTGGTGCTCCACGGCCTCCGACTTTGAGGCTGAACAGAAGTATTCTTTCTGCACTGAGCAAAATGGTGAGAAAAAGTACAGTCTAATGTTATAGATATTCTATACAGGCAGTTTTTTTTTCTAGTTTTCTTTCTATAGATGTGTGCGACTGAGCCCAAAAGTTTATGTATGTGAAAACTAGTACTTGAACTACGATAACATATGAAGAAAATGACAAAAGATACAGAGGTCTGGGATCTTTTCACCAACATTTTATTGTTGGTAAATGGATACATAACCACATATTTGCATTTTAAACCAGACAAATCAAAGTCCTCCTTCTAGCATCTGCATTGGCGCCAATAGATACAGTATGCTAGCTTTGACCTTCAGATAACCAAAACAAAAAGTGGAAAATCTGCAGACTGTTGTAATGACGAGTTCAGTTTTAACATCGGTTGATTAAAAACTGTGGTAACTTTATTTGTTGTTGTCTGAAAGTTGGACGGCTAAATATTCAACCTTATGATTAAACCAAATATTTTCTGATGCTGGTGTTTGTTCCCATCAGCCATCGTGACGACCAGAGGAGGAAACTCTAACGGAGCCCTGTGTCAGTTCCCGTATCTTTACAACGGGCGCAATTACAGCGACTGCACGTCTGACGGCAGGAGAGACGGCATGAAATGGTGCGGGACCACGACTGACTACGACGCTGAGCACAGATTTGGATTCTGCCCCATGGCTGGTGAGTAATAACCTCCTTTATAAATATTTCTTATGTTATGCATTGTTTTAACTCGGAATGAGCAAAAATAGCTAGGCTTGTTGTGGCAATCTGCAATTTTTGTCAAAGTCTTCATAGTTTTGATAGCAAAGGAAAAAAGTTTGCAGACCATTTTTTAATTGGAAAAATCCATCCATCTTCTTCCCATAATTCAATTTCTGGGTCGGGGGTGGAAGTCAGAGCTGGACAATAAATGGGCTGAAATTGTGTTCGATAAAACTACTATTGTTAGAATGGCTGACTAGATTTCATTTAAAAAAAACCTTAAACGATTTTTTGTTGTTGTTAATTTTCAACCTATATTAATATGCAGAAAATCGACAAAGGTGACATGACCAAAGCTCAAAACTATTTTGAAACAACCCAAAAATCATTTTTACCCCAAAGACAATTTTGTAGTTGGCTGATTTTCATTGGCACACAATCTTCCAAATGTTTAGCTATTTTACTCCATGTTCTCAATGAAAAATCCTCGTAATTTAAATAAAATAATAAAACAACTTGTGGACGAATACAACATTTGGTTGAATAGCGGTGGGTTGATTAATGCTACTTGTGCTTCGAGCGCTACACGGAGGAGGATTCTACTCCTTCATCCAAACCAAACCATGCAAAGCTCTTGTTTCGCAGCTGCAGTTAAATGCAGAATGATGTTGGGCGCTAGAACTAAATTATTGTTTGTCGTGGTGCAGACGCTGTGCACTTTGAACACGGAGCGTGGTCGTTTTTGCGAATTTCTTTGCAGCGTCTCCGAAGCGTCTCTGTCTGAACTGAGAGACTCTACCAGGCTCTATACCCTCTGCCTCCAAACACAGCTCTGATAAGAAGCTTCACTGCTGCATTTCCATAACGGCATTAGGGCAGTGGATATGTTGACACAGACCAGATAATCACATTAACACTGAGATCTTAATTTGCGGCAAACATAAGTGAAAGTTCTGTATCAGTCACAGAGGTGGCAAAAGTAAACAGAAGAGAGGCAGGATTTTAAACAGCACTGAGAATAACATTGGCAAAAAATGAGTTCCAAGTGAGTCTCAAACTAACTAAAGGCCTCCTTTTCAAACCACAACAAATGGAACAAGATACAGTAATACAATTCTCTCTCTTTGGTTCTACCACTACTTTTCTAGTGTCAATTACTGCCTCCTAGGGTTCCTTCTTACAAGTAAAATATCAACCGTTTTCTAACAATATGAAGCGAGCATGTTGTGGCCTGATTTTTCCACAAACTTTGGAGATTTCATGACACTTTGAAGGTTAAAGTGAAACTCATCATTCTAACAATATGTAGTTCAATTTGGAGAGACGAGAAAACAGGAAGTTTTGAGTATTTTATTGGGAGGAGGTTTGGCGCCCTAGGCCCCGGTGCGGCCTTCAGATCGGAAAGGCTCCTGCGCTGGAGCGCGCACAATCCCCCGGGACCTAGGCACTGGTGGCGGCATTTGGCAGCAGGAAGCAGATTGGAGGCAGATTGGAGGCAGGGTGAAGAGGAGGAGGAGGGGAGGCGGTGGTTGCGAGGCTTCAGGAGGCAGAGAGTGGTAGTTTTTCCGTTTTTATGCGGCTGGCGTAGTCGGTACGATGATTGGAAGGGGGCGTCTGCTGAGCGATAGGCTGGGATGCGAGCCGGCCTGGAGGGGGTAAATTTGGTTAACGTCTACCAAATTGAACTTTCGCTGGCTGCATTTCAATTTGGAGAGACGAGAAAACAGGAAGTTTTGAGTATTTTATTGGGAGGAGGTTTGGCGCCCTAGGCCCCGGTGCGGCCTTCAGATCGGAAAGGCTCCTGCGCTGGAGCGCGCACAATCCCCAAAAAGGCTGCGTGTTGATGGAGTTTTCGAAGCCTGGTTTGGAGGGGACAGACGTCGTGACTGCTCTATTCTGTGACCGCTATCGCTATGCTGTGACCGCTATCGCTATGCTGTGACCGCTATCGCTATATGCTGTGACCGCTATCGCTATATGCTGTGACCGCTATCGCTATATGCTGTGACCGCTATCGCTATATGCTGTGACCGCTATCACTATGCTGTGACCGCCAGCGCAATGCTGCTAACCATTTTTTGCTATATGCTGTGACCGCTATCGCTATATGCTGTGACCGCTATCGCTATATGCTGTGACCGCTATCGCTATATGCTGTGACCGCTATCGCTATATGCTGTGACCGCTATCGCTATATGCTGTGACCGCTATCGCTATATGCTGTGACCGCTATCGACTGTGATCAATACTTGCGGATACTCGGCTGCTGGCGGCGCCTATCCGGAAGGAGTGAGCTGCGTAGAGATGGGGAGACAGGTTACAAAGCAGCAGTACGGACTTTAGTTGGGCTCTGAACCCGTTGGATGACGTTGGGAGGTGATCGGGGGTGAGAAATAACGGTCCGTTGAGATCTCCTTTCCGAGAGCGGAGGTGAGTGTAATGCATCGTGGGTTATTTTTGCGCGCTGGGAACGTGAACGTTCGCATCACGTTCCGTCAGACGCTGCGGCAGCGGAGAGTGTTTGAGAAAGTGCGTGCCGCCACCAGAATCTTATTGCTTCACTTACTTTGCTTCGTATTGCTTTGCTGGGAGCTTGCGAGAAAGCCAGTAGACGTTGTGCAGCCAGGATGGCGGACGCGTCTGGCCTGATGTAGGTGGAGAAGGCCGAAGAGGACCAGCGCCCCAGTTGTTGGAGAGGTGGGGGAGCCCCAGCGAGGCCGCGCGCGTGGCAGCGCCTATCCTGAAGGAGTGGGCTGTATAGAGCTGGGGAGACAAATTGCAGAGGAGCAGTAGGGATCTTAGCTGAGCTCTGAACCAGGTTGCTGACATGGGAAGGTTGTCTGAGAGAGATGTGTCGGAGCGAGCTATTATGTTGCAGGCGCCTTGGTCTTTGAATGTTTGAGATGAAGGTTGAAATGGTCAGGGACGTTATGTTGGGTGAAAAAGAGCGACCTTTGTGTAATGCTTCCACTACGTCGAGATTATCGCGCATGACAGGGATCCTCTTTCTCTGCCACGTGTGATTCCACGGCGCGCAGGCCACGACCACTGGGAATATCTCGTGTAGGGCAGAGGAGATGCTCCGGTGGAAGTAGCGGCCACGGCCCGGCAACCCGATGGTCCTGGAAGAACCCCCAAAAACCCACGGAAGGGGCACGTCCGTGTAGAAGCGGAGACCTGTAGGGCAGAGACATATCGGAGAGGGCCATAGATGTTGCAGGCGCCCTTACGCTTAGAATCTTGGGTTGGAGAGTAGATAATCAGGATAGTAGGATGGTCGGGAAGCCGCGTCTCGGACCGCATGAAGGTTGAGTGAGCAGTGGTGAACGCTTATGCAGAGAAGCCATAGAAGGCGAGCAGGAAGATGCTGCGAGGAGGGCAGACATGTACTTGGAAGATGAGCCGGAGTTCAGTGCCGCTCAGAGCTGCTGCAGGATGGGCAGCACGATGGGGGAGCCTGCGATCAGAAGAGTGAAGAATACAGGTATGGATGCCTTTGATTAGGAGTCCGATTGACGGCTCAGCGCAGCTACTCGGCCGGCTGCATCTGATAGAATCAGAAGATTTAGGTAGAGAGATGAAGCATGACCGCCGAAGCGACCCTGGGAGCATAGGTGCGAGTCCAGCGCAGCGCGGCATACTCAGCCGGGCTGCATCCATTAGAAACAGGATAAGCTTCTGAGAGAGTGGGTTGCAGCAGTAGCAGTAGCAGCAGCGGCAGCAGCAGTACCTCAGATAATAACAGCGATAACCTGTATCAAGCCGCGGCAGCAGCAGCAGCAGCAGCAGCAGCAGCAGCATCCTTAGAGATTAACAAAATAAGCCTGTATCAAGCCACAGCAGTAGAATGTTGTCGTAGCTGATCAGTGTTTCAGTAAAAGAGATGCAAGTGAAGAGAGATGGCAAGTAAATGAAGCAGCAGCAGTAGTAGCAGCAGTGCGGTATAGAGCAGCAGCAGTAGGAGTATGGAGCAGCGGCAGCAGCAGTAGTAGCCGTATGAAGCAGCAGCAGCAGTAGCAGCAGCAGCAGCTGCAGCATCCGTAGATAATAACAGCGATGATCCTGTATCAAGCCACGGCAGTAGGATGTTGTTGTAGCTGTTCAGTGTGAGGGATTTAAACAGGTTTTACGGTCCAAGTGATTTAACAGGTTTTACGGTCCAAGTGAGGGATTAACTGAGCCCGCAGTCCAAGTGAGGAGTTTAAACTGAGAGCTTACAGTCCGGTGTGAGGGATCCAACAGAGCCTGCGGTTTTTTTTTTTTTTAAATTTATTTCTTTATATTTCTTTATATTTATTTATATTTATTTATATTTATGTATTTATTTATATGTATTTATTTATTCATTCATTCAGTTTTAATATATAGCGTTCCAGATATAGGCAGTACCATATATGCAGTTCCATATACTGCATAACAGTTCCAGGTATAACAGTACCATATAAGCAGTTCCAATATAGCGGTTCCATATATAAGCAGTTCCATATGAAGCAGTTCCAGATACGGTACAACAGTTCCAGATATAAGCATTTCCAGATATAACGTTTCCAGACATTAGCATTTCCAGATATTAGCATTTCCAGATATTAGCATTTCCAGATATTAACATTTCCAGATATTAACATTTCCAGATATTAGCATTTCCCAGATATAAGCAGTTCCGTGAGGGATTAACCTGAGAGCTCACAGACCAATGTAAGGGATTCATTTTGGGAGCCGCAGTCCGAGAGGGATGTAAACGGGGCTTGCAGTCCAAGAGAGGGATTTAAACAGAGCTCATAGTCCAGAGAGGGATTTAAACAGAGCTCATAGTCCAGAGAGGGATTTAAACAGAGCATGCAGTCCAATGTGAGGGATTAAAACAGAGGTCTTGCAGTCCAATGTGAGGGATTAAAACAGAGGTCTTGCAGTCCAATGTGAGGGATTAAAACAGAGGTCTTGCAGTCCAATGTGAGGGATTAAAACAGAGGTCTTGC